GTTAGCCTGAAATTTTTTATAAGAATGGTGTTGAATGCAACCTAAATGTTACTATCATGCTTTAAAACATACCTGAGAGGTCAAACCACTGTGATGTAAACATGCACAATTCATCACCTTCAAAACTGTATACTTGTATATATGATATATGATATATTTTAGTACTTGAGACTCTAAAGGTAAAAAAACCACCTTGATATAGATATTAAATTATCTATCAAACTCTGAGTTGTAACTCCAAAGTCACAGTATGTTGTTGACAGTTGTGTTAGAGACTTTTTATAGAGTAAAACCCACCAAAGTACTGAAGCATTCTACATTGATAGTTACTAAATCAGCATGCTTTTAAGGTTGGAAATAAGTGAGTGCTTGGGCGGTAAAGACCATTGAAATGAAGATGTATGGCAACAAATAAACCTTAGATATAGTGGTGGTGTGCATAGAGTAAATCTGAATGAAATTTTATGTAGTTTTAAATATATATATGGGCACAACAGTTGAAATATCATAAAAATAACACTTCTTGTGATGTTAATATGTACAGATTTATTGAATAACTCAAATATGGATTTTAAAATGTATTAAGAGCTCTCTGTCATTTCTAAAGAAAATGCCAGAGAGAAAATTAATGTACTAGTACCCTTTTCTGTATAGTCTCACATGCAGATGCCCAAGCCAGTTATCCATCACCTTTGTAAACAGTCTGTACTTGAGAGTATTGTATGGTAAATACTTAAAAATTTCCAACACCCAACTTATTCCAAAATTTTGCTTTGTCCAAATTTATCAATATCATCCATGTGAAAACTTACTGGGTGACATACACCCAATCTTATTTTTGGTTTTTTTTTAAATTAAAATAAATGGGTTACATAGTTTTAGAAAATCATAATTTATATTACTAGAGAGATCACATCTCCCATGCCTGCCATCTCAGCAGGGGCAGAGGAATTAAACCAATTGAGTGAAAAGGGTCTTGATGCACCCATGTGCCATTTTGTATCAGCCTCTTAGCTGCTTGTTAGTAAGTTTGATGTCAAACTTCATATTATTTTTTTTCTGGGATATTTTCCAAGTGGAAAATACCATTGGTGAAAGAGTGTATAGAAAATGATATATCAACTTACTACTGATTAAGTTTGTCATCAGTTTGATGTAGAATTGCATTCCATTTTCTGGGTGAGGTTGTACGTAAACTGTAATGTATTTCTTCTGATATTTTCTACATTAAAATTACATTATTGTAGAGAATCATTGATTTCTTTTCTTCCATACTTTACTGGTATTTATGAAATCTATTGTGGTGTCAATCTGCATTGTATTTCCCCTTCATAACACCCCCTCTATAAAATTCCTCCCTTCCTTTATATCCCTTAACCAAGATAATTTTTTTTTACTGCACGCAATTTTGGAATAGAAGTTGCTGGGAGGAGAAAACCTTAATTAAAGGAGGAAAAAATACTTTGGAATAACTCTTCATACACAATGTTTGAATTAAGTTTCAGTTATGATATCTGTGCCCTGATTAATATGCACTGACACATCAACAGACTATTTCACGTCAGTAACAACTTAGTAATGTAAAGACCTGTTTCCACTGGCTTTGGGCCCATCTAACTTAGCATGCACTCTCTCGGCACACAATCTGCTTATGACTGAAATCAATAAAAGGCATATGATTTACTGCAGTTTTACTTTTAGACTGCATTCCCATAGATTTTTAAATCAATCTATCCCCCTGGGGAGTCTCACTAGCTTGGTGTCAGCTTAACAGGCTTAAATGTCTGCCCTGCCTACTAAAAGCTGTAAGGGGGTAATTAACTATAGTGTACGCTCGGCTGACAGCAATTTAGGGTGAACCCCCAGGGTGTTAGGTCGATCCAGATGGATCGATCTAAGTCTCTGGGAGTGCAGTCTTAGTCGAGGTAGGTGGGACTACAGAAGGGTCAGATTGGCTTACTGTCAAAATGAAGGTTAGAAGAAGTAGCACAACAAAGGATGTGGTATATTACTCTGTCCTATGTCTACTGGAAATGGGCCTCACACTTCCAGCAGTTGAGCCAGCTTACAATCCATTTGGGTCAACTTGCAAAGTCAACCCAATGGGAATAGACATACACAGTTTTTTTTTTTTTCATGAACCTGGCTTTGAGTTATAATACCTGTAAAATCATATAAACAGCCTTGTGTAATCTCCTCTGACATATGTGAGACGGATTTCCTGTTATTGTCCAGAAATCCAGGAAATCAATTTGGGCCCTGTTCAAATCAGTTTTAGCAAAAACATCTTAGTCACATTCCAAGAAGAAGAGGTTATTATTATTTTCGTAAAGATTTTTACAAGTATATTGGTCTTCTTCTTCTTCTTCTTCTTATTGAACTTACAAGTACTAGTAGTAGTATAAGCTGTAGAAGTAGTTATGTAATAATCATTGATATTATAATTGTTGTTAATAAAATTTAAGCTAGTAGTACTATATGATATTATGAAAGTATGTACTGTATTTATTTTGAATCTTTATTCATTTTTTTCTAAATTTTTACCACACTTGTATCTGTAATCCTTTCTGTTTGATAAATGTTCAGTGCAATCTGTGATGGAAGTTGAGAGAGAGAGAGAGAGAGAGAGAGAGAGAGACTGTATGAAAGGCACATGTTCAGGAGGCTTCTTTCTGTAACTTAAAACTTTCTTTGTTCAAACCATCTGAACATAACCTTATAACAGACACTTTAGATCACCCTGAATTTCCCTGTATTTCTTGAAGAGAGCATATAGGCATATTGATAATAGAGGTGAGTTTCTCATTAAATTGCCTCAGAAACTCAGGGTGCCCCAGATGGGCCTCCCTGGAATCATGATCACTTTATATCAACAAGCATGACGAAGTGTGCAAGTTCACTCATGTGCAACATTGCAAGTGATCAAAACTCTAGAACTGGTTTGCTTTCTCAATATTTGGGCGCCAGCATTATACTCTTCGAAAGTATGATCTGTTGCTTATCTTATTGATGACATTATAATCTCATTTAATAAAACAAAGCATTATTGACTAAATTATAAATTAGACCTGTGTATGTACTGTACATAGAGATGACATTTTGCACACATGGCATGTGGGAACATGATTGTCTTTTAGTGAGAGCTACATATGTGATGAGCAGCTGGAATCTTGTGCCCTGGTTTCTGTGTGAGGTAATGTACTCAATAAGGTTGGTTCCATTACATCGATCCATAATGTAGATTCATTTATGCTAAGGATGGATTGGTATCATTTCTGGCATTTTGCAATGTGTGAACTTTGCCATTGCTGTAGGATGCTTGAACAAGGTGAACTTTTGAAATGGTACCACCCTTTTTGTTGATAGTACAGGGTGAAGGGAGGTATGGTAATTCCTCACAAATTTTAAACTTATCATTTATTCAGGACTATATTTTATCATTAATTCAGGCTTATATATTTTAATTTTTTTGTAAGATTCAGGCTTTTGAGTTATTCACATTAATACACCTTATGACATGAACAACATTTACTTTCTAATCATTGTAACCATGTAGTTTTTCATCGATTTAATAAAATTACCTAAACTTGTTTTTGGAGAACTTTTTAATCATTTCTGTTCAAATTGAGTGAGTAATTACCATACTTGTTTGAAGAGTACCCTTAGACAAAGTGTTCTGCTATGTGAGATAAAGAAGAGGAGTGGTTATCACAGGTGTAGCTACATATTGAATGTAAGTGTTTTACTTTTTTTCAGAAGAAGACAAAAATACAGGTGATAGAAAAGTGTACTTTATTTAATTGTTTCTTATGTGCTGTAAAAAAATTTGAAGTATATTTGGTGTGTCATTTGTGAGGGAAGAATGTGTTGTAGACAAAAAATATGCAATTTGAAAATGTCCAAAATTGTATATATCTGGCATATGCATATATAGTCAGATTTATGTCATTCACTGCAGAGACTGTTGAGAAATGAAAGAAAGGAAATTGAGTGGTTACAGTTTTTGATTTCAGTAAAATTATAGCAAAGGCTGATATCATGTGTTCTTTGATGTTTAATCATGTATGATGTATACTCCATGCTATGTTTGGTTACTGTAAGTGTATATTGGCCTTTAATGTGTCAGTGCTGGTTTTATTTAAGTACAAAGATGTCGGTCTATGGAGCCTTTATTTAGTCTTTTGAGTGTAAGCAGGATGTCATGTGTTATTATGAAAGAAAAAAAGGGAGGTTAGATTATGCACACCAGTTCCCTAAGCATTAACTGTTGTTTCCCAGAAGGTCGTTTGCATCTTTTACTAGTCAGCTTTGGTTTACTGTATTATGTATTATGTATAAGACCTCACGTGGCATGAAGATGCAATAAGGGAGAATCTTGAACAAGTCACTGTCTACAATATTATGTAAGTATGTGAAGCACTTATATGAAAAAAAAATTTTTTTCTGATGTGTCAGTTGGAAATTGTCAGTGATTTATCTGATGTCAAAAAATTGAGATTTGACTGCAGAAATTTCAGCAAATGGTCTGAAACGTGTTATCGACTCTGGCAAAGATGAATTTGCTCTCGAATGCTTGAAGAGAAATGTTTGCTTTCAGCAAAATGAGAAATGGCTTCTTTAAGATGAGAATGATAAATGGCATCATTTTTTAGATAATCATTCAGATTGGAGAAGAACCTGGCACAAATCTAGGGGCGTACTTGTATTCAGACAAATTTTAACTATATAGTAAGATGAATGTAGGTTCAAGATGTCACCAGATGAGACAAATTATTCAACTATATATTATGTTTTTTGTTTTATGTTTTTTTTTTCGATCAAAAATATTCATTGGCATGGTATAGATGTTGTTTAAAGACCATTACACAATTATTTAACATTACGGCCAACCTTCGGGTGGGGCCTGCACTGAGTCCACCTGGTGGCCAGTTATGTATAGGAACGTCATTCTAATGAAAGTCTTTGGCGGTGTTGGCTGCGAGCTAGCAAGTAAGTTTGCATAATGTTTCGCTTGTGTACAAGTAAAAATCTTTGGACTTTGTGTGTTTTTATTGTGGGTATACTTCCTCTTATCATGGAGGGTGTATAGAAGAGGATGTAATACATAAAGTGAAGATTTAGTTACGATAGCTCAGAATTGGCAAGTGAAACCATAAAATGTCTCTTTTACAGTCTGAGTCAATATTTTATGTCTGCTTTCAGGTTCACACATACATATAATCTTTTCCATAAATGCTAGATATTAGTTTTCTTTGACTACAGAAAATGACATTTATGTACTATTATAAGAGTTTGCCATTTTTTCCCCCACTTCGACCTAAAATGTTGATTTTGTTGAAATATTTTTTAGCTATTCTAGATAATTTAGAGATAAATGCTAGGGTGAGGGCCAACTATGCTGCAAAATATTGACGGTGACACCCTTGCATAAACTTCATTATTTATAAGTTGCTAAGCAATTTGTCATTGCTTTGGAGGAAAGGGATGACTAGTAAGTCTTAATTTTTTGCCGTTTTTGAGGTAAATGTGTTACTTTAAACCCAACATCTATCTATACACCATCTGACTCAAACATGAATTATCAAGTATGAAGCCAGCAGCTCTTTATAATCTATTTTTGCATCAGAGTGACTCATTAGTATTTCCATGTAATGTTATGTTTTTACTTTCCATATAACCTGAGCTGGATAATATCATTCTACAGCTGTATGTTTGAGAAGGGGTGTTATACTGGGTACTGGTACTCGGGTGAGATTTGAGATTTAGATTGGGGTGGCTCAGTTGAATGCTAGACCATTTTTTCTTGTGTGTGTGTGTGTGTGTGTGTGTGTGTGTGTGTGTGTGTGTGTGTGTGTGTGTGTGTGTGTGTGTGTGTGTGTGTGTGTGTGTGTGTGTATGCATGCGCATCTAACTCTAGAGATAAGTTTTCATGCAAGTCTTGTGTGGGCGTGTGCTTGTGTGTGTGTGTCACTTGTACAATCTGAGTGTGTGACAGCTTGTAGAAGTGTTTGTACTTGTTTTTGTGTACATGTGTGTAAGTGTGTCATTTATACAATGTAAGTGTATGAAGGCCTTTTCAAATGTTTGTGTGCATGCAAATGTGTGTGTGTGTGTGTGTGTGTGTGTATGTGTGAGGGAGAGAGAAAGAGAGAAAGTTAGTGGGTGACTGAGATATATAGAAAGACATTTTAGTCATGTTTATCCAGCATCAATTATTGTGGAGTGATATTGATTGAGAAATGTTCTGAAAGCAGCACAGCTCTATTTGCTCAGTTTTTATGTGATTGAGAAATGGATTTTTGAGCTTCATTACCTCCCAGTATCTGTCACAGAATGTATGAGTTAAAAATTGGCTTGATAGTTAGTTGCCAATTTGTGAAGTTATAAATGGTTATTTTATTGACTTCCAGCTTTTCTCTGCTGAGCTCATTTTTCACAGCAGACAAACATAATCAATACAACAAAAGCTTGAAGTCTACCTTTTTTTAAATTCCAAACAAAATTTCAAGAAATTGGGAATTGTAAATTATATATTTTGATTTGAGTTATAGTGTGGTCTGTCAAGTTAAACAGTGACATCTATGGGTAAGGGGTGGATACAATAATGCTTGATTGTCTAATAAAGAAGGACAGAGTTGTTTTACTTTTAACATTGAGAATTGGAAAATCTAGCAAAGGCATTCAGGTATTTCTGCCATTGTCTTAATTTTTGCCAGGATCTCACTGACTATTTAATAATAGTAATTTAAATAATGATAATGCATTAGGAAGAGTTGTTTGGTTTGTAGCTCTGCACATGAATTTGTGTTTAAACCTTGGTCTTAACTGATTATTTTGAGACCTCGTGACCAGAACCTTTTTCGGTTTTTAAAAATGAGAAAACCTTCAGGAGTAAAAAGTTCTCAACAGAAAAAAATGTATAACTGTAACAGTGATATAGCAGTATGTTTAGTTAGCTCAAAGAGCTGATAAAAAATATATATTAACAGATTAAAAAACCGACACAGTAAAATTTAACCAAAAGCAGTCTTTACATGTAGTGTTGAAGGAACCTTTCGACAAGGATGACCTAAATATATATACTCAATCAGAAATTAACCACAGTTTGAAAATGTCAAAGATCTCTTCCAGACCAGTAAAAAAAGCTGTTAGCATGTCATGTTGGATAATCTGTAAATGTTAACATTCTGCCATACCTTCTGAAGGTAAAATGAGATCAAGTGACTGTGTTCATGATTCTGAGAATGGGGAAGAGAATCGTGGAATTAATCATAATTGGTTTAGGGTGATTGCACCACCAGCTACAAGGATGTTGATGTACTAGTACATGTCTAGGATTTGATTTCCAGTTGTACTAGTACTCATCTGAATAGGTGTATGAATGGTGAAGAGAATTTTCAGATTTTGATAAATTATTTACATACTGGCCCAGGGGTATTATGAAATGAAACATGAAACATGGGCTCAGCAAGATGTTTGTTAAAGTTACCAATTTCAATATGAAGAGGAGATTTTTCAAATTGTCAAAAGCTAGTTGGACATTTATAGTATGTTATTNACCATGAACTGAACTTTGCAAATTTTGCTTCCCTTTTATCTCCAAAACTGGCAGAGATAGGTCCATAGTTACTATTGAACTTGAATAGGAAGTCATATATTGGCAATCTAAATGTGACCTTGAAATTGACCTTTGACCTACTTTTCACCATGAAGTGAACTTTGCAAATTTTGGTTCCCTTTTATCTCCAAATCTGGCAGAGATAGATCCATAGTTACTATTGAAGTTGAATAAGAATTCATATACTGGCAATTTACTGTGACCTTGAAATTGACCTTTGACCTACCTTACGATGAACTTAACTTTGATTGTACCATTTTTAGTCATATATGTTTTTTGCATATTTTGAAAATTCTTGTTGATTGCATTTTTACAGCTTGTCAAGCACAAGACTGGTGGCTATGTCCCTTATTTTGTGTATGTGGGGGTTTATACGAATGCGCTTGCTCCAGCTGGTGGTACAATATTCGGAGGCGGTATCGCCTCTCTGATCCTCTAGTTTATTTATTTATTTATTTATTTATTCCTTTTTTTGTCATTTACAGGCAAAGTCAATCAGGTCAGACAAAGTTTGGGAGTTCTTAGGACATGTAAAAAGAAGTGGACCAAAAGCCTTTGAGACTCTTGTTAATGCATTACATCGTGAAGGACCTAAGCATCTTGCTAACCTACTAGATGACAGAGAGAATTTCACAGATGTAATGGAAAGGGAGTCCCCAATGTTTCAGATGACAACACCTGTTCAAACCACAGAAATGCAGCAATCAGCAGAGCAAAGTTTAAGCAATGGAGGAATACAATCCAGCAATAACAACTGGGGATCCCAATTCAATAACAGGGGGTCTCAATCATCTGAGCTTCTGTATCCAAATCTTGAACAGGGTGAAGGTCAAATGGCAGGAGTTCAAAGGTCATCTCCCAGTGCTGGGATTAGAGGTTTGATGGCCAGTGCTACTAGCCTAGGTGATGAGGATACACTTTCCATTGGCAGTGGTAGGATAATTTTATTAATATTAAAGATAATTTCAATATTAAGTAATTTTGAGGAAAAAATAAAATTTTCTCAGGACAGATTGTTATTTTAGTAAGGAAGGTGTAGGAGACTTAAGTTACTGGACACCTTCCTGAACAAAACACTAAGAACTTTGCATTTTTTGTATAATTTTTATTTTTACAATGCAATAAGTGATCTGAATAACAAAATTATAATTTAAATGATATTTCATTATTGGCAGCAATAGGCAAAATATGATACTTTTCATGAAGTCCTTCAGGACACAGTTAATGGGGCCATTCAGAATAGATGATCCCAGTACTAACTGATCCACCGATCAAATATGGCCAACACCACTTCGGAAGCAAGATGCTGCTAATTCCATGATGGTCTCCCCACCTCTACACCCGACATTGCAGCAGGGGCCTAGCAAATAAACCTTGGAGCTGAGCTTTAATTTGTTTAAAGGTGTGTGTGGAGGCAGAGAGACCACAGGATCAGCAGCATCTCTTTTGAAGTGGTGTTGGCCATATTTAATTGGCGGATCAGTAAGTACTCAGATCAACTATTCTGATTGGCCCCATTGAATATTTTGTCGCTCTTGACAGATTTTTAAAATTTATTATTCATTTGGTCACATACATTTTATTCTTTTCAGCATCTGGAGACGGTGCAAACTGGTCTTCAACTTTTGAGAAATTGATAGATCTAGGCTTTGAGTATGCCTCTGTGTTTGATGTGATGAAGGCATATCCTGACGTGAGTTTATTTATTTATTTAGTTTGTTGGTTGGTTTGTATTTGATAACTGAACTTGTTTTATATATGACTTTGAAACAATTAAATTAAAATAACATTTTTTTCTTTGTCATTTGTGAAAATTACATTGAAATATTAAATTTAATGTAGTTTAAGATGATACAACAGTTTTGATTAACAAGCAAAATCCGATCTGCAGCATTATCTGATGCTCTTAATAGTCACGAATCAGTTTAAATTTAGAACTTGTGTGCACGTGTCTTAATTTATTTTCTTCCCTTGGAATATATTACTCAGTTGTTTTTATTATTTTAAGTGATTTTAAAATGTTTTTATACTTAAAATATTTACAAAGCAACGAGTTTTAAGAACATGTATTTTCTTTTTCATTGAAGAAATCTGCAGAATTTTACTCCCTGAAGTTACTGGAGGCACATCAGAAAACACTGCAACAGTTTAAGGAAAACTCACAATCCAAAGCCATGAGTAAGTTCATCTTTGTTATAATAACCAAGATTTAATAATTCAAAATGAACATAAATGAATTGCAATCAATATTTCACCAAGAGTTGGTCCAGGAGCAAAAATCTACTATTTGAATGTGCTAGCTTGATTAACATGTTGTGTCAACTTAAATTTTCGTAATGATTTAGTTTTAAATGTGCTTAAAAGCAAGAAAGAAGAGAGAAAACTTATCCTTTTGTCTGTGTTTTAGAAATAAAATTTCTACCTGTTTGTGTCTATTTTTGTCAAAATCTATATATTAATTATTGTTTGTATTATTGAATTGCAGTTAAATATACATAAACACATAAACATTTTTCATATTCAAGAGTGACGTACATTCATGGGACAAAATAAGAAGCATAGAAATCATGTTGAATTTTACTGAATCAACCAATTTTTATGATATTCATAACCAAAAAGTCTTATATGCGTCTAACCTGTAACAGTTACTGTAACATTGAAGTCAATTACTGCACAGTATATCAAACACAGTCGGAACATTATTAGCAAACAAAATAACCCACTGTGAGCAGTTAAGCTACTGTACCATATAGCATATTGAACACATTAAGGGGATGCTTAAGTTGCCTCATACTCATTGATTATAACATTAAGGGAAATGGCCATTGTTTTGATGGCGGAAAACGTGATATGTGTGGTTCATTTATCGGGGCCAGTTTCACTGATGAAATTAAGACTGAAATTGTCTACCACTCAACATTTTTTCAATCTGTTTTTGTAATCAAATAGAAAAATTAAAAAGTAAATTACAGAAAACAACCATAATATGTGGAAAAGAGAAAGGGAGATTGATAAATGGATGTTAGTTTACAGAGTTATATTTATCCAAACAAAGTAAGAGTAAAATCATGTTATTGATATTATAGAAAAGCATAAAATGAAACTCATTTAGTATTTATAGCTAATTGACTAAATAGAGCCAGTAAGAAAAATGATAACTGATGATATGAAGAAATGTTGAAAATTATTTAAAAGAATAAGACAGATCAAGTTAGTTCATAAATGGATAGATTAATGAATCATTTTTCCCATTTTTGTTCAAGCACCTGCAGATGATGAAATGAGTAAAAGGTTGAGAGAAATGGGATTTACCAGAAAGCTTATTAAAAGATATATACAGAAATACCCTGGGGTAAGTATGAGAAGAAATCCATAAAATGTCTTTTACATCCAATGATGAATTCTTTTTTTGTCCATTCCTCCCTTCATTATTCCCTCCCTGGGGTAGCGCTTGCAATTTTTTTTTGCTTATATAGCCATATCACCACACTTTTGTCAATTTGTTATTAAAATGGCTATAATTTGGCTAAAACATGTCAAATCTAGCCCTTTTTCTTTAGCCAATTTAAGTCAGTGTTAGCATTTGGCTAAATTGGCGAGTGTTAGCGCTACCCCAGCCTCCCTTCTTCCTGCTATTACTATTAAAACCTGTTATTTGTTAACTATTTGATTGTGCATGAACTTAATGAAGAATTATTGTTCTTTTTTAAAGAACTTTTTTTTCAAAATGATAGAAGTAATAATGAATTAAGGGTAATAATCTGATTGAATGTTCGTACTTACAGGAAACGTGAGGTAAATGCTCAAAAGAATCTTTTTGACTGTATTACTTGCAGGAAACTTGTGAATTCTACATTGATAAACTGACGAAGCATCAACTGCCAAGAAGTTTCAGCGGTAGGTTGTCGAGGATATCTGCAGACTTCATACTGCCACACTTTGTCTAAAACACACATCAGAGAATTTGATAACTTAAAGATAATTGTACAATTGTTTCAGTGATTGGCCAAATACTTAAAACTGAGATAATAACTGATTTGTCTAAGGAATTGCAAACTATCATCTAACACTGTGATTGGGGCATAGGGTGGAGATAGTAGAACAGATAATCCCCCTACCCCCTGCCCCCCCCCTCCCCCCCCCCAATTTGGTCTGACAGTGCTACACTTTCTACAACATCACAAACATCATAATTTCGACACATTGTCAATTTATTGATTATGTAGATACTGCTTTTTATCATACAACACCTTATTGTAGAAAAAAGATAGATAATGATTATTTTAGATATATGTCAACATTTTAGAAATATGTCAAAATCTCAGAACACATTTTATGAATTAGTAGTGAAGTTGTACTGAGTTGACATTGTTGATTAAAAATGCAGTACAGTACAACTGTTTCATGTCAAAAGGAATTGAAAGTATGTATATAACTAGACTAGTGCAGTTGTGCACTGTCAAAGAGCATTGAAGTTTGAGAATAATCATTGTTACTAATGTTAAATAAACCTGTAGATTTTTTAAAATTCTAGTCACACTCTTTCTTCTCGTGTTGCAGGGTCTTCTGATGAAAGTGGCCCATTTTTGCGCCCAAGTGATTCAGGAACTGGAACCCAAAGTCCTGCGAGTTCCATAAGCAGTATCCCAGAGACACCTAGCAGCACCTTATCAAACCAACGTCCCGTGAGTGACCTGTCACTGGAAGTATTTCAAAATACTGACCATCCTGCAGCCAATGAGGATGCATATAACACTCTTCAATCAGTAACCAATGAAGATGAGCCTTACAAATTTCCCTCATCAGACCCACCAAATATGGACATTGAAACCACTGACCTTGACCTTGAAGAGACCTTGACCCCAACTCCTGACAATGCAAGCCAGACATTTGTGAAATTTCCTGGCGATACAAAGGGAGAAGACATCAGTATAGATCAAAGCGGAATTCAACTTGTTTCTAATTTTTCACAAGGAGGGGATTCGGGGATTGTGGATAATTTGGAAAGCGGGTCAACGATTCCATCAGAAAATGCTAAGTTAAACCTAAATGGAGGGGTCTCAGAACTGCCCAGTAATGGGGGAGGAGAAAATTCAACTACAGTAACATCATCATCACTGACACCAGCAACAGAACCAAAGGTTGAAGAAGAGGACTCTGTGCCCATTTTTTCAGACGTAGAAAACATTTACTACTTTGAATACAAACATTTGCAGAAGATCACTGAAAATTTTGCACCAAAAAACTGTATTGCCACGGATGAGGAATGTGGATTTGGGGGCGTTTTTACAGGTACATCTATGATTGACACTTGGAAACTTGTATCTATTTATTTAATGCTCATTACCATGTTGTGATTTGATACTTTTGCAGATGAAAGCCTGCTAGTAGTAACTATATCTTTTAATGGGAATAAAAATTTCTCTAGTGGAATTTTCAAGTAATTGAGTGATAGACAGGTGTGGATGGCAAAGCTTGTTTCGCTGTACAGAATTGTTTGCTGTTTAATACTAATTGAGTCTTATGTAACAGGTGTATATCCATATGATGGTCCTCTGAAAGGGAAAGATTTGGCAGTGAAAAGATTGAAGCTTGGAAGCAAGCAAGGAGACCTAGAATATAATAGGGTAAGTATAAGGCCCCTTTCAACGATTACTGTTAAACATATGAATCTTTGCTATTTAGTTTATGGGTCATGGTGTGAAATATATATAAATCCAGTTAGGCAAATAATCATTTATTTGCAGTGTTTCTTTTTACTTATAGATTTTTTTTCAATCTAAATTTAGGAAAAGGACTTTGCCCAGATCAACTATGTGTACCTGTTGACCCCTCTGGGTGTGTGTGAAGTGTGTGAAGATGGGTGAGTTCTAGGACTTTGATTTATACTAATGCAGGATGATGCTCATAACATTTGTTAATGTTACAATTATATTTAAAGAAGATGTATTGGTACCCCGACATACAGTATGTATTTCTGTCACTAAGGAGCTGGAACTTATTGCTGTCACTATGATCGCATTCACAACGAGTTGAGCCATGGCTTTACAAATCCTGGAACTAAATATGGCAGACGTACATGAAAGAAAAACCGCCTAATCTTTTAATAGTCTCTCCGCCTCTCACACGCCTCCCCATGCTTCGTCCCTGCGGGGGTACGGTCATTAAATCTCGGCTCCATTGGGACGACACATGGGGAGGCGTGTGAGAGGCGGAGAGACTATTAAAAGATTAGGCAGTTTTTCTTTCATGTACGTCCGCCATATTTAGTCCCAGGATTTGTAAAGCCATGGCTCAGCTCTTTGTGAATGCGATCTATATCTTTCAGTTTTCCCCTCCTCACTCCCCACATCAGATCCCCTCTATACAGTCAGCATTACTTTTTTATTTATTTATTTATTTATTTATTTATTTATTTATTTATTTATTGACATGGTTGGTGAACAAAAAAGAAAAAAACAGAATGAAGGCTTGGTCAAATTTCAGTAAATATTATTATATGAAAATTGTTTATATTTTAAGGTACCAAAAATGCCTTGTGTATATCTTGATGCCTGGCAGTGATTTAAAGAAGAAGTTGAAGTCAAGAGAACTGATGAACTGGAAAATCCGTCTTAGAATCAGTGCCCAGCTTGCCAACGCAGTGTTGTTTTTGCAGGAAGATGGGTAAAACCTTATTGCCTAAAAATAAAAGAAAAGAATAAGAAAAAACTTTTGGCTATAGGACATTGGACATTGTTCTCCAGTAGAAAATGAATTATCTTCAGTTTTTGCAGAAATGAAGTTTAGAAGTAAAATATGAAATTTTATCTTTTACTGTTTACAAACATGAAAGTAAAACATTAATTTTGATATAATTTTTTTTCTTTTGCAGCTCAAACCGCATATATCACCGCGATATCAAGTCAGCCAATGTTTTCTTAGATAGTCAGCTCAATGCCAGACTGGGGGATTTAGGCTTTGCGCGGCCTTATAAGAGAAATTATACATCTGACATATCCCAGTCCAGTAAGTATCATGGTGGTAATTTCTTGATGTTTTTAATGGGGGAAAACTGTGAATTTTACAGGTGCTGTATTTTTAAAGTCATCATTTCTGAAAATGGAGTGGAAGCAACAAGTTAAAAATGATATTATATTGTTATATTTTGTGGAGGAAAAGCTTCTCATATGCTATACAGAAATTAACAATTTTTGTAATATAAAACCTATCGGCCAAATTATGTAATCTATCAAGAAATATTTATATCTTGATTCTTTCGTATCATGATTCATTGTGTATGTAACATACAGTTACTGTAGACCTCAATAATAAGGGCCTGGCATAAACTGGTAACTCACTTATGATGTAATGAATTCAAAGTCTCAGTCCAGTCCATTATATGCGAGATTGACAGTATTTTCCATTGATTGTTTTAAGTGATTGGAAATTTTATTCTTGTTTCCACAGAGACTCGTTTTTCTCTTGGCTATCAGGACCCTGATTATCTAAGCCATGGAACACCTACTGAAAAAACTGACTGCTATGGTCTTGGAGTTGGTTAGTATAATCCCTTTTTTTATTATTCAATAATAAAAAAAAAATAGTTTTTTTTCAAAGATGCTGAGATCAGGGAGTTGGTATGTCCCACTTTCAGTCTAACATTTATGAGCTAGCTAAACAGCAGGCTTAGTCACACAATAACATTTAATAAGTCTTTTTTTTTTTTTAATTTAAAGTAGTTATTTTCCTTGAAATGTCAGCACTTTTACCTTATTACCAAGGATCTGTGAACCAGTTTTTGAGTTCTAAGTTTCTAAATTTTTGAGTCACATATGTTAAAAGTGGAGACTGGTGAATTTCATTCATCATGATAAAAATTATAAACCTCAAGTTGAAAAAATGGTTCATATTACATTGTGATTTTCTCAACAGTTTGAATTGGGTATGAATCTCGCTCATTTTAATTTTATTTAAAAATAAAAAATTGCTGAATTTTATAGGAAACTTTAAATTTGTATTTCATTTATTTTAATTCTTTAAAAATAATTTTTGTAGTATAAATGTTTTTAAAATGTGTATTTCATAATTTTGTATGTGTATGTTCTTCTTGTATATTATTATTATTAATATTGATAAACTATGTTCCAGTGTTCTTAGAACTGCTGACCAATGTGACAGCTCTGGAGGAAGATGACAAGAGAAGACGAATCCATGAGAAGTGGGACCGTGAGGGGTTTCTCAAACCAACCAAGATTAAAGGAAAACTATCCAAAATCATGGATAAACGCTTGGTAAGACAAAAAAAAAAGCGACAGTTGAGTTTCGTCCTCAAAACGGTGAATTAATTTAAAAGCAGTTGATTCAGAACCTAGTATTTTGTAACTGAACTTTGTTTGGAATCAAACAAGCACTTGTTGTTGTACTGTGAATTTTCAGGAATGGCCCGTGGATGTGGCTCAGGAATATGCTCAAATCATTGCCAACTGTCTCAGAAAAGATCCCGATGATAGGTTCACAGTTCAGGAAGTCAGTGAAAGACTGATGAAGCTTTACAAGGTAAAAATTTGAAAATGGATTTTCTGGGAGATGTCAGGTGCCACTAGTCAATTTACACTCTAAGTTGAACCAGTCTTTAAATTTGATAAGGAAAAATATTTAACCAATTATTGTAAATTGACTACAGTATTGGTCTTAGAAGATTTTATGATTAATCCCCCCCCCCCCCCACCCCCCACACACACACATATATATATATATATATATATATATATATATATATATATATATATATATATATATATATTGTTAAACATAAACCAAATCTTTTTATTAAAAATTTGTTCATGAAATGTTAAATCCAAGTCATTTAAAATAACTGAAAAATCTGTTTGAAAAACGATGACATATTTTTCCAGGCCAAATTACCAAGGAGTTCCCTGTATGATGCCGGGCCCTGTCGTGATGATAAAATTCAGGCCAGGCATTGCTTGTATTGCTTGGTACAGGATGTGGGTAAGTACTGTTACTTACTGTAATGACTGGAACTTTTCAATGGGGAAAAATTTTCAAACTGTCAGGTACATAATTTTTAAGTATCAAAATTTAATTTCTGTAAAGCATTTGATCTGCTTTTACTGCATAGAAAAGAACTATAGGAGTGCCTGCTTTTTAATTTTGTTGCTACCACTCTACAGGAGTGTTCTCATTTTAAGAAATTATGATAGTATCTGTAAAATTCACAATTTTCCCCCATTGAAAAGATCTAGTAATTACCATTATCCGCTGTAATGGAATTCAACAGAAATCAGCCATAATGAGGCTGTGAGCACTGCATGATGTTATACAAGACAAGAAATTGTAAGAGTTTCTGCCTGAGGTGGGGTTAACTATTTAGCCGTAAGTGTTAATTTAAAACTGGAAACGTTGTCTTAGACAGCAATACAGAAGTGACACAAAAAACATGGTGACTTTGGACAGTTTTGCAAAGCTGATCATTTTTGTACCATGACTTATTAATAGTGATTTTGTATTTTATCTCACAAGCGGGCTTAATTTCTGAAAAAGCCAGAGATGATCATTGTATCAGATAATAGGCATCATTATACATTAAAATAAGCGACAGCAAATTATACTTATAATTAGTTGATTTCAACTTTTACTAGGATATATGTAGTTTGAAGCGAATCAGGTAAAAAGCTATTTGTCAGAACTGAACATTTGGTGATTTTGTGTTGTGCATCCTGCCTTGATAAGTTGTTCCCATTAGTTGTGACAAGAATCCATTCCCAAAAATGTTTTACCAAACTGGCAGCAGTTAAATTTGGAATTGGGCCTCGAAATTAAATGCACTAAAGATATGCAAAGATAAAGATGAAACTTTATGTACCAGCTCTTAGATCATATTTTATAATATATTTATGCGATTGGGAATGGATTTTTGGATTGATTTTTGTGCTTTTTTTATAATCCCAGATTCACAGTTGGTATTTTCGTGTTTCTAGAAAGATCAGAGAAGACATCAGAATGGGCTAACCTTAGGTGTAAATGCAGTACAAGAATTAGAAAGCAAATATTGTTATAAATATAGTATTCTGTCTCAGCTGGCTGACAGGCTGTAGACAAGGCAGATACTGAGGGACTGCAAAGGTCCATTCCAAATCAGCATTTGATCTTTCTAGCTTGTAAGCCATTTCTTAAGTTGGATCAGCTAATGGAGGTAAAGGGTGCACCATCAAAAAAAAAAAGAATTCTCCATTTGAAATTTCTGCCTACAATCCTAAGGCAGCATTCACAACCAAAGTTGATCTGCGGACTAACAGATCTGCGGATCACATATGGCCGACACTCTTAAAAGTTTGCCGCATAGTCAATGCAAGAATCTGTTCAGTGTCTATTATGTGGCATGCTTTCGAGTGGGTCGGCCATATTTGATCCGCGGATCTGTTAGTCCAGGAACCAACATGTTCTGAGCGTCCCCAAAGATATTCAGAAGCAACCGTGTATCGTTCCAAATGTGATTTCAGCCATTACCCCCATGACCTGTGGCTGTCGATTCCTCTGTGATGTCTGTTTGCGCCAAAGAGTGGAAGTCAATAAACAAGTTGTATGTGTCAAGCATGAAATGGATGTCAAACCAATCGGTGAGTATTCCCCACCTCCACCCCCTCTTCCTGCATCCCTTCCCTTCCCTCCCCCTCCACCCACCCAACCCTCTGTTCCTGTCCTAAATAAAATGTAAAAAGCCTTAATTTTGTTTTCCTCCCCCTCCCTCTCCCCCCCCCCCCCCGCCCTCTTAGAAAGTGACTGAAGTTTCAGTAAACAATGAGATAAATCAGAAATAAAAGAAGCACAACTGTATACTAGTAGGTCATGTGGGGATACTAATGCTAATGTTGAATGCAAATTGTCTTTCTGTTTATCTTCTTATTCAGCATAAGATGATTTAAGGATAATTTTTGCAATTTTTACTTTTCTTTAAGTTTCCTTATTTTTTTCCAACACAAGAAAGATCCAGATGACACAAAAAAAAAAACAGTTTAAATTGTCGTTGTTTACTGCCCCCCCCCCCTTTCACTTCTTAATAAAAATCCTGGATTTGCCTGTGTTTCTTCACTCTAAAATAGAAACACACATTGCATTTTTGACTTCTTTTGAAAGGAGGGGACAAGGAAGGCAACATTAAGCACCAGATGACGGCTCTTTTCACTAAAAATGAAGACAACAGCGAGACAATCAGCCTTCTCAGGAAAATCATGGAGTATAGCAAATATGTGGGGATACTTGTTGGACCTTGTGGTGTAACAGGAAGTTGTTTTCAGCTGGGAAAGGAGTTCATCATGACCAATCTACATGTTTTAGAAATGATTTTTCTTAGTAAGTTTTTTAACTCACAAGATCGCTTTAAAGGCATACGATATACAGCAAAAATGTCGTGAAAGTTGCATTATGTCCTTCAGTTATCAGAGTATTTAAAAATTATCTGTCCAAAAAGGCTCAGAAAATTACTATGTATAGGTCTTTTTTGTACCATTGCAAGTGCCATTCGCCAGTTTCCATCTCAGTTATGAGATTAAGTCAAATACTGATGGATACTGCTGAAACTGGAAGTCAGTCATAATTTATGTGAACTATAACTGATTGAATTTCATATATTATCTATTATGAAATTCTATATCACATTTCTATATAATTGAGTCCCCATGTACGCATACTATTTTTTTCAGATGTAGGAAATGATGTCAGAGTTCTTGGTGATAAAACTCAGACCAAGGTGTCATTCCAGTTTGAGGATCTTTACAGTCAGCACAGCACTGAGTGGCTTGGACTGGAACCAGATATAGTTTGGTCTAATAAAGAACTAGATGTGGCCATTCTCAAACTCAAAAATGAGGTTGTCTTGGACAGCGCCCCGCGGTGGGGAGTTGCAGCAACCACAGACTATGTGCATATCATTGGACACAATAATGGTGACATTAAAAAGTTAGATTATCGTTGCCCATTGAAAAGCCTTGATGATTCTGAAACTAAAGAAATTCTGACCAATGGGAAAATTGCATTTGGTCCGGCTGCATATGAGGGAGTGGAGAATCAAAATCTGCAGCTTCTACAGACAAGTTTTATGCATGGAGCTTCAGGTTCACCATGTTTCGATAAATTCGGTCGTCTTGTTCTCCTTTTCACGAGAGGTTACCCAAATCTTCCCCTGTCCAGCATGAGCCAGTTAGGGAGGACAGTTATCGAACAGGGAGTGAAGATGGAATGTATTTGTGAGACACTAGCCGCAGAAAAGGAAGACCTTGCCCATGCTTTATTCGATTTTGGAAGTGGAGATAATTCTATGGAGGTGGACTAAAGGAAAACTGTAAGCCATTGATAATCAGATATGGGAGGGTTTTGTGGTGAAGTTTACCACACTCCTCTTAAACTTTTCAATTTCGTTTCCTGAAATAGTAACGCAAGTAGAATGTTAGTCTTAAATGTCATGATATCATTCCTGCCATTTGTGCCCGATTGATAGCTGATGCTTTCATTGAAAAATCACTGTTAGCTTAAGAACATATTTATATGGTCATCATGGGGATTCTGACGTCAGAATAAGTAGTCAACTAAAATTAAGTGCCCCATTTTTTAAACAAAAGAAAATCAGTTCACCCCATTCCACGCCACCCCACACCCTGTGCTGTCTAGAATAGAATTCTGGATCCACCAAAGATGTAAAATTAACATGTGAACAATTAATTAGTGGTGAATAATGTGTAAAATACTCTTAAATGCAGAAGACTTGTAAGCCCATCGATTTCAGTGCTAAAACCAGCAAAGTGGCCTTTGTATCTAATACTCCATGCTGTTTCTGTCATTGGTAAGTCATGTTGTAGTCTCAGAGAAGTTAAGATGTAAAATATCCTTTAAATTTGCTTTTAAACTATTCATAATCTACATACAATCATGTTAGTATCAAAGTAACAGTAATTGACTGTAACTCTACTTTAAAACAATGAAGAATAGTCTGTGATTAGGTGAATTTAAGATACATATCAACATTGTATATTGTAGTAACTGTTATTATATTCATAATTCTGCTTATTTTTTCATATATATTAAAGGTAACCTCCTTGTTTGTGAAATCATGTTTTCAGGGTTTCTTTGGCCAAAGATAATTGTTGAATTCTTATTGGTTCTTCTGCAAGCATTTTATGATAATTTTTTTAATTATTCTAACAAATTGAAATAAAAAAATCTATTTAAATTCAAAAACAAATGTCCAGAAAGTATCCCTCATCAAGTGAATTAGGTTAAAGTTTCCAAATGCAAAAATTTATACAAAATGTTAAAATTTTTGGAAGAAAATTGGAGTAATTGCACAAACAACACATGGTGGGGGATCATTTTGCAGGGTCAATTTAAAGATATGAAAAAAAAAAACTTAATAGTTATTAAGTTTCAATTGTCAAATTTTGTAATAAATTTGAAGACTTGTTTAAAAATTCAAACCAAGATGTCAGGCTTTCGTTTTGATCAATGAAATTCAGTGATTACATAATTACAATTGCTTTAAAAGATATTATGACATCATGTTGGGACACCTTATGAATTTTTTAAAAAAACTTTTTTTATACTAAATATTCTTTTCTCAGTTGCTTATCTCAGTTAATACTTAAACGAAATTTTGACTTCAGCTATTCCATTAGTAACCACTTTTGATTAAATTTAGCATTCAAAATTATGTAGTTAATGAACTTATTCAACACTCCCATTAAAATCAAAATATGCATTCAAACAAGCATTATATTAAATGGATAATATATTATGCATGTGTTATATAGGAATGTATTTGTATTTGTAATAAATGATCAGGAGTTGAGGGTAAATTTGATCAGCAGTTGAGGATAAATTTGACAATCTTTTCTATAAGTTGTTCATGGTTTCAAACACTTGTATTGAGTAATGTTAAAGTCGTGATAATCAATTAGGATGTATAAAAACTCTTGTGAATAGAGTAAAGGGACATTTTGTTCAAAAGTGATTATTCAAAGTAAAGGATTATCATCACTGAAATGTTACTAAAAATGACAATCTTATTTTATGATTCAGATATGTACACTTTTGTAGATGTTGTCAAGTTAATTGTCATTTAATGACATGGTACTATATAAATAAGAATTGTTTAGTTTTATGATATGTTTTATATCTGCTTATTTTCATTATTTTATTATTTTTTTCTCATACAGTTTGTCAATTTAATCTGTGGACCCAAGGTCTCAAATTTATACTTTGTAATTAGTTATAGAAAAATAAACATTGAAGTGTGATTGTTGCAAGTTTTATAACGTTTAGATATATATTAGTCAAGTTTTTTACTTTTTTTTTTCAACTTCAATATCATCAGTTGGACATTCACAGATGGTTTAAATCTCAAAAAACAATCATAACGATACCACATTAAAGCCTAGATTACATTAATTGCCATGAGATGTCCATGTATTGCCTGCAAATCCTCGTTCTGTGGCAACAGAAGATGAAGGCTGTGTGAAATTGTACAAAATCAAACAGATTCATGGTCTCCGTAGCCTCTACGATTTTCATCAAGCTAAAACTTTTGACAAAATTTTGAAAATCATTAGACCGTAGCAGTATCGTAGATAGCATTGCACGGTTCCTGTACGAGACTGGTTCAGGGGTCTTGTGGTGTTTATGATAATGTTTGAACCTGTTACTAGCCTCTTTTCCTTCCACCTGTGGTGGTTTAGGAAGCATAACAATAGTAAAGATGTTTAGAACATAGAGTAACTTGCCTGTACTAATCTGAAGTTGTGTGTGTTCTCATTATGACCACATGGGTGACATATATGATCACTTTTCAACCTACGAACCAAGCTCATGTTGAAGAAATGGCATAGCACCTACACGTAATATAAATATAGATGCCACGTACAGCTACTTACAATGTCAAACAATTGCAAGGGGAAATTGTATTTCTCTACTTCTATGATGAAACTAAATACAATTTTCATAGAAGTAGAGAAAGAATGCCAACATCAAATCTCGCAGGCTGAGCTTGTGCCGTGCATGTGTGGACTGAAGTTGGGGAGGTTGTCTTCTCTCTATGGTTTCATCTTATACCACCTGCGGAAATGTAGGCTTAAGAAAAATTTTAAAAATACAGTAGCTTTCTGAAAGAATTTTTTTACCCACGAAAACAAGAAGATCAGTTAAGAGCTATAACATATGTAGCTGCAGTTATCAATACTTGGGACATCCTTTATTCTTTATCCAAGTTACAAGTTCTTAGTTTTTAATGTCACTTTCTAATACCTTACCTCAAGAGATAATGCCGTTCTTGGAAATATCACCTCCAAGCAGTGTTTGCCTCTTAGGAAAATTAGTTGCTGGACCGAAAGTCCAGACATCTGAAAAGTAGCTGGACTGAATGTCTGCCGGGTGGGAAAACTTCTCAGCCCGTTCTGAAAGTTGTCAGCCCCGGGCAGACGGTCCAGCCTTAATTTCTAACACTGCCTCCAAGGGTCCACTGCACAAACAACTTACGACCAAAACTTGATCTAAACATTCAGAAATTTAGTCTTCTCTTACCCACAATACATCAGTAGTGGTCAATTTCAATGAAACATGGCGCCTTTTTAAGACGAGAAACGGTTACTGTTTTAGATCTATGACTACTACACTACAGTGGGCTATTATAGGTCAGTACTGAGATAATGTAAACTAAATTTTTCTTCTAAAAGTCAAGATCTACTAAGGATCGTAAGTTGCACCTGGGACAATTTATTGCCAACTTAAAGCAAATGAAATGTGAATTACGACCAAGTTTGGCTATTGTATTATAACGTGTTAAAATATTCTTATTTTTTGTCGTCAAACTAGTTTGCACACTATTATCATTGAAGAAAAAAACAAGGGGAACATTTTTAGACAAATACATAGCAAAATGCCTTATCCTTCTGGTACCATTTGCCTAAGGAAGCTTTAATTATTTAAAATGTGAGTCACTTAAATTCACACCCCAAAAATTGGCTGTACAGTCAACTTGTCCAAAAACAGCTATATAATTTTACCCATTTTATAGTATAGTGATATGAAATAAATGGAAATATACCTAATAAAACTTCACAACCAAATTGAATATAAAAATATATAATTACATAATCAAATATCTTAGGTAAAACAGGAGCCAAAACTCAACAGCCGTGTTTTTAATTTCAAGAGCCGTCCTTTGACGTAGAATATCATTATTACTAACAAATAACACAAATTCAAAGCAAAAAAGAAAAGAAAAGAAATTGTATCTCTTGTAGAACATTTGCAAAATCAAAGGTCATGGCCTTGGAATATCTCAAAGATGGAAAAAAAATATATATATATTACTTAACATTTACATTTCTAGCCCTATTTTTGCCAAAAATTTACCCTGCTAGCGCAGTCTTCTTAACTAACTAACTTGACGGAATACGAGTAGCACCCTTACTTTATTATACATGCAGTCATTCCAGTAACAGTATTATTATTATGAACGACATCTCTTCAGGCCAACTGATTAAAAAAATTCATAGATAATAATAAACCATCATCACTGTTGCTTTTCACTGTAAGATAATATGGAAGCACATTTTTCCTGTATACACATCAAAAATCATACATACATGAAACATTTACATCATAGACACAATACCTGTATTAATTACAACTTGAGTGTATATTATGTTTTACTTTGAAACCTGTCCAAGTTTTCAATCTCTTTTGCTTCATGTCAAGCAGTTCTTTGTCAGTTACTGTAAAAAGTTGCTAACATACAGATATTAAAAGGGATCTAATGAAGTGATGACAGTATGTTACACTGTATAGTACTGCCATTATAACAAACTGTCGGTATATATATACATCATCATGGTTACACAGACTAAATATGTTGATTTCCTAAGAGGTCATTTTGTTTCTCTCTACTCTAGGCTATTCATCTGAAGACAAACAATCTGAATAATACAGGTGAGTTTAAAGTCACATTGGGTCAACTCAACTCCGTGAAAACTTTTTCTGTGAGCAGTATACATCAGTTAAAACCATGCACAGTAAATGTAAACCCTCCTTTCCCTAAAGGTGGTCTCCAACTCTACCCAGCAGGCATGTTGGTAGTCAGGGGTCACGGCACACGAAACATCTCAGTCTTTGAGTTAAAACAAGTTGTTTTTTTGTGTTTTTTGTGAAGCCAGCCCCTGAGTGAACACATTTACTGTCACTGGTAGGTTTTCAATTATATTAATCATAAGATCAATGTTGTGGGTAGTTCCAAAAGTGGTCAACCTAATATGGCTGTAAATGCACCTGAATAATAAAAGCCAGCTGGTCAGCCCTATACAAAATCTACATCACAGAAAGAAACTTCTGGCAACCTCTATATGACAAGCATTTCACAGAGAATTCCATGTAACAGCCACATCCAACTCTAAAATTTATAGATTGGCTTCAAATCGAGGTGAAACTGTCTGGAAGGCTTTCGTGATACCGGGTTGGCCGGTTTTGGTGCAGAGGGCGTGGAAGATGACGTCGCAGAAAGCGTTGTCCGACTAGCACGTATTACGTTGAGCACCATTTCTTTACAGTCTCTACAAACGTCCATCATTGGCCCCTGCAATTTTGAGGCATCACCTTTACCTTTGGAGAACTTTCTCGTTAACGACAGGTGTTTCTTGCCGTGATGATGGTGGTGGTTGGTCTTATCTTTGTCCTTGTCATTTGAAAAGATTCTGGACAGTGTTGACCGGCGTGTCTCATGGTCCTTGTCTTTGTCCATGATGGTCACCTTACGTGTCAGCGTGGACTTTTTCTCCTTTTGTACTTCATAGCTATGGTGGTCAAATATCTTTTTGTCCAAAACTGGTGAAGGTGGCAGAGAGTAAGTGCTAGAAAAATCAGTGAGATTTATATAATAAGCTTAGTACTGTAAACTGTTAACCTTGTGATCTCTAAAGAAAATTTATAGGTAGGCTGTAAGTTTTAAACTGCAATCCACTGATCTTTCTCATTAAAGCATTCCTTGGGTGATAGGCCAACCACCTACTGTCAAATGGTCAGTGTAAGCAAGACAATTGATGCAGTGAAAAGCTTATAGTGCTTGGATGATCTATTTATAAATTAATGCAACCCCCCTCCCACACACATGTACACACACCCAGAAAAATAAATTTAAATTCTTGTAAACAAGCCCCAGATAAGATGCACTTCACCTGGTACAGAACTGCACCTTTTTCTCTTCTGTAATTTTTCAGCATATTCTAAGTAATCATTTTTCTTGTTTTGCCATCCTATCACTAATTTCAATAATTTAATTTTGTGACAGAGATGATGTGCTACCAAGCACAAAATGTCTCCTTTGCCTAGGATTTTTTTTTATCAAAGTCCATTATAATCTTTTTCTTTTTAACAATTGATCATTGAAACATATTTCAGTGAAATAAACTATGTACTTTAGTATACCTGGTAGTAAACTGTTCTTCTTTCTCCTCTGGACTACTGGAACTAGGGCTAAGTGTATACACAGGGATGTGTTCAAAATGCTCTGTGGGAATACGCATCTAAAAATAATAATAAATTTTAAAAAAATGCAATCTAGATTTTAAAAAAACATAAAAATTATAATTTTGGATCACCAGGGTCAAAGCTAAATAACACTTAGGATAGTATTTTTAAAAATGAGAGAAATACAACTTTGGTTAAATGTCATGAAACAAATCTATACTGAGTGAATATAAACATATAAATATTTATCATGATGTAAAAATTCTATTCTCTCTTGGTCATGCTTTACATCTAACCTACCTTTTTACTGCATTTGTTGCACACCTTTCTCTTGCAGAATTTGCACTTGACTCCCCAAGGACCAAACATGCCAAACTTTGTCACTCTGCAGGTGAAGCAGATCTGAAAGAATTAAGAGCCACACACATGTACTAATGCATTGCATTTGTGAACGTGCTATTGAGAATAATGCACGTTTGTATAGGCCTATATTGCCATGCCCATATATTTTTCTTATGTCATGTGTAAGTTTGATAAACAAGCTAATTATAAATTAAATGTGTGTGTGTGTGTGTGTGTGTGTGTGTGCTCATGCACGCCCAGGTGCTTGTAATTTTAAGTTTTTCGTCAGTGACTTCAATTCTAAACCTTAATAAAGAGATAGAGATTCTCTGTGGTCTCAGCTAGTTGCAGACCTAGGGGAGCGCATGCCTGTGTTCACATAGACACGCATGTGCGTGCACACATACATCATCACTCACCTTCCCCTTGGACACCTGGTTATACATGTCCATATCAGTCCCGTACAGACACTCCAGTTCTGCCTTGGTCAACACACTCCTGATGTGCATTACTTCATCTATCCTCAGTGACAGACATTCCATGGGATTGGGGACCTGCAATGGCAATGTTCTGGGTGAGACATTGTGACAATGATGTTAGTTGTGACAGTGAATGTAAGCATTTGTTGGGTGAGATAACTTGTGTTCAGACCAATGCTGGCTTTATTTAAGTGAACTTCTATGGATTTAACTTGAACAATTTGAAGTAGATCACATTTTTGTCCACATATTTACTCCAATTTCAGGCTACAGAATGGTAATTTTTGTGAAACTTGCTCCTGAAGAATTTGTAAGGAGCTGCATTAAAAGATGTGACCTTGAAATTTTTCACCACCAGCCTCTACCCTTTTCTAAAAGATGGTGGTATTTTTTCTAAATTAACGTGAGGAAAACTCTTCTGAGAAACTATTATACACTACTAATTTGCAAACAGACATCTGTTATCTCTGGCATCAGTGAGCATATTATTACACAAAGGTAAACCCATCTCACAAATTGTTAATAGATGTATCAATTTAAATTATTGTTTTTCTTTTTATCAAGAGCTTATAAAATATGTAGGTATTACCTCCAATATTTCTGTGACTGTCAGTCACCATCATCAGGGAGTAAATGACAAGGGTCATTTCACCTGGAATGAAAATCCAGGTCAATTGCCCCTAATCACTGGCCTTGTGTTGTAACTGTTACATATGTTATATTTCTTGTAAATCCGAGTAAGTTTTTCTGACAGACCTTTGCAATATGGTAATACTACGCTTTGCTTTCCATCCCCAGCGGGACCCATTGCATCCTTTCCTTTGTCATGTCTGTTCTTGCCTCTTTTTTCCCCTTGTTTTAGTGCCCATTTTGGATATCCACAAGCTAACAGGTCTTTTTCAATCTTCTTCCTTTCTATTTCTTTGTCTTTGATTAGGGGCAATTGACTTGGATTTTCATTCCAGGTGAAATGACCCTAGTCATTTACTCCCTGATGATGGTGACTGACAGTCACAGAAATATTGGAGGTAATACCTACATATTTTATAAGCTCTTGATAAAAAGAAAAACAATAATTTAAATTGATACATACAGAGCTAATGAAACTCTTCTCTCATAATAGATGTGTTTTGAGAACAAGTATGAAGCCATAACTGCATTGAGAGTATAGTTAGTAAATAGTATTAAGTGCAGAGAGCACTTGAATGAATGTACCTCAGCGAAGTGCTTCAGCAGTATATTTGTTACATTTAATCTAAAAGAATACCGAAGTTTGAGTGTGATTAGATTAAGATAGCTAGAGTTGAAGCAAATCTAAGATAAACTCAAACTAGCATACATTTTTTGTTTATTTGTTTTTTGTCAGAAGGATTTAATTTTGGAAGAAAAAAATGAACACTATTCAGCAAAGATCTGTTAGTATTATAGTCAATGACAAATAATTTTGGCATAATTCTGGCCAGACATATGGCAGCTGCTACAAATTAGGACAAGGAAACCCATTGCACATTTATGCTAAAATATTATACTGACAGTGTCTAGGCTGGAAAAGAAGCTATTACAAAAGCCTTTGACAAAAGATTTGTATGCTAGCAAGAGAGCTTATCACAAAGCAAGAAAGCTACTCACTGGTAACGCATTAGGAAACCAGTCACATCCTCTCATGCAGTTAGTCCAACTCTGCCGACAGGCGCACACGCTTTCACGGCGCAGAGAATCCAGAGATTTAGTAGTAGGCAAAGAAATAGCATCAAACCCATCACCTTCTTGGCTAGCACTTGAGAGGTCAAGGTCACTCAAAAGGTCAATGTCAACTAAAAGGTCAGGGTCACTTACAATTGTGTCCTGGTTGGTCTGGAGGGGTGCAGGGATGGGAGAGAGGTCTTGGCCCAGGGGCAGTACCTTAGCCAAGGCCCCGGGGCTCTCGCATACACTGATACTGTGACGTCTTTCTGGAACATCATTGGCTGATTGGACTGCAAGGTCTAGAGCAACTTGAAGAAAAAACAATGGCAATCAAATAATATCTTTATCCTTTTATGAGTTGTTAGACCTATTTAATTATATACAATGATTTAAGTAACATTCCATTCAATTATATCATTTCAACATGCCTGTGTAGTGTATTTTTAAGTTCACCAACCTGTTTTTTGCCATGGCATCATTTGAGAGCTGTTAAGACTAGAGAATTTTTTCTCGCTGCCATCATATCCAGTGTCGTTGTCTTCATCATCTACTTCATCCTGTGAAGTAAAATGAAAGATGTTATTCAAGCTAGGTCAAGGTTACATCAAGTTCATTAAAAGGTCATTAGAAGTTGATTGCCTTGCTCATGACATTACCGAGGGGTGCAGAAGAAGAAGAAGTCGAAGAAGAAGAAGTTCATTGTCAAGGTCACTGAAACAGTTACTTTGCTATCATGACTTCACTGTTTGCAAGGTTACATTTCCAAAATTTGTTCAAAGGGATCATTTATAAAATATGTTTATAGTTTCAGTAGTCTTTACTGATAATTACTTTAAATTTATTCATAGCCCAATTCAGAAACTTTTAATCAATAACTTTGCATTTCAGAACACTTTTACTTTACTTGAGCAAAATAAAAAGCTGTGTCAAGCTTAGCTTATCAGACAGTTTGCAAAGAAGTGTTTTACCAAGAAGGGCTGACCTGTCCTCAATGTAAACACAACCATAGTCATCTCCACATCAATCAAAAGCCAGACACCTCAAATCAACCTACATAATGTCCATCCAAACTTGACACTAATGACCACAGCATTCCTGACAAGGAATCCCATTAAATAATGCATTAAGCATTTTATTACATTTGGACTACTGTCAAGATCATGATAATGATTTTCAAGTGTTTTAAACTGCCCAACATGGAAACCTTGAGTCTCATCTCTTGTTGGCAGACCTAAGGCTCATCTAAGGCTGTATTCCCAGAGCTTTTAGACCGATCTATCCCCGTGGGGAGTCTCACTAGATTACTGTCAGATAATCCGGCTTAAATGTCTGGCCCGCCTACTACAAGCTGTAAGGGGGTAATTAACTTTCATGTCCGCCTGGCTGACAGCTATTCAGCGTGAACCCCCAGGGAGTTAGGTCGATCTAAAGTAGATCGATCTTATCTCTGGAAATGGGGTCTAAATGCCAGACATGTATTTTATTCACTTTGAAATAGGATAATATGAGTACGAGTCCATCCTTCAGAAATATTGCAGCATTTCTATAACTCTGTCAAGAAAGAAATGTTTTAGATTAAAAGTTAGTCTATTGGTCTACTACAGCATAACTGTTACAGTAACTGATGAAGCCTAACTGGAAGTAGTCTAAAGAATACCATAGTGTAGACTGACTATCAGTCCAACAGTTATTTTCTGAAACTGGTCCCTGTTGCTAAGTTTGTTGCTAAACACAAGCTATGCATCTCAATGAAGCCCATTTTAAAGGGAAAGGTATTAAGACCCCATTTTGTTACAGATTTAATGGTATCAGGTGCTTCAGACTTGAATAATAATGGGTTTATCACCTGATACGAAAACTCTTAAGGACACCTGTGATATATTTATACATATCTATAGACCAACATTATTCCTGTCAAGCTGAATGTAAAGATGGAATGCGCAATTTCAAGGGTGGGTGTAAAATATTAACTCCAAAAATCTAAATAACATTAAGCTTGATCATTGGTCAATTTTCCACAAAATTGTGTGTTGCAGGCCCCCACACATGTATGCCTGAGTGCATGTAGAAAGAGAGAGAGAAAGATGAAATTCAATGTATTTGTCTGTGTATATGTGTATTCGTGTGTGCTGGTCAATTCCTCTGTGTGTGCAATTGTGTGTGCCAGCATGCTTATTCTACTATATGATCGTGTGTGCATGAATGTCTGTGCACATGTATGTGTGGGCAAACATGCACATGCATTTATAATTAACGTACAAAAAACTCACCTCTACAGAACTAGTGATCAGAAGGGAGAGATCAGCCTTAATTAGTCTACGTGTAGGGGCTGGGCTGCAGTCAGATTCTGACACTGTTGTTCTGGACGTTTCCACTACAAAAAGCAATAAAAATTATTATTATACATTTAACATCATTAGTATCACTTTTATAACACAAATTGAAAATAAAATGTATACCGTCACCTGTATATATAAAAATAATTATAAATTATTACTAAGAACAAATTTTATGGTAAAAACTTGGAAATTTAGTCAATCTTGAATATTTTGTCAGAAGACAATTCTCTGCCAAAGTAATTTTTTCAACTTTGAAAATTTCATCAAACTTGAAAATGGGCCTCCAGATAATTTTGAAAAGCTTGTCACCTAATATGGCCAAGTCAGTTCCAGGTATTTTAAGATATTAACTAATTTTTAAGTGACAAAATTTTCAAGTTTTTACCATTATATGATAAAACAACAAATTTTAAGTCAATAATTCAACTTTATTTGTATTGCACAGGGGCAGATTTAGGCAGTCTTCTGGGTCTTCCGGAAGACGGTCAGATTTTCAAGTTTACATTATCTATTTTTTTTCTGTCGGAAGACGGTCAAAAGATGGAAGAAGGATCAACAAATATAATATGGAAGACTGTCAGAAAATATCTCTGGATCTGCCCCTGTTACACACTGTGAAGAGCACACTCAAAGTCCATTCATTAGGCATGGACTTGTGCCAGAATAATCTACTTTCTGAAGATAAAACTGTAAATATATGTCAAATTATTATTGTAAGTCAATCTATCACTTATCTAATCAAAACAATACAATAAAACCAAACGTTTTTACTTTTTTTTAAGTTCTTTTGGACCTTAGCCATGGTAATGTTTAAGAAAATTAATTCCATAATTTTGTACTCTGTGTTCCCTTTTATCAGTAGTTGGAATAGTCAACTGAATTTTTTTTTTTTTTTCGTTTTGTTTTGTTTTTTCTCTTTCTTTCATTGCCCTTCAAATATTTGTTCAAGCAGTCATTTGGAACTTACTTTTCTACTGACCAATCACTCATTTGTTAAGAAAAACATCCTGCTTCAAAATTAGGAGAAATTATCATTTGTCTCGAGGGCAGAGATCAATCAGATAATAAAGACGACCAAGGTCAGTTCTTTCTGTTGAAAAGGGCAATGGTGCCATCAGTGACTTGCAACTCTCTAGTGAAGGTCAGGGTCACCTTTATCAAAACTGACATATTTATTTTGGGGGTTTGTTTTGCAACAAAACACCTTTACACAGTTGGTGAGTATTCATCTGGATGTGGCAATCTTTCGAGTGGAAAATTCAGAACAAAGCAAAGGGCATCCAAGTCCAATTCATGCATCTGTGCACAAATCTGAGCATCTACTTCGCTTTAACTGGTATCATAATATCAATATAAACTTTGTAACCTCATGACATTTTATTAATGAGAGAAAAATATATTTGATTATCAATGGCCAATCTTCCATTGATTTGGAAAAAATAATATAATTATTTCAATAAAACCAAAAATATGGAAAATAAACCACAGCTCACACATTCTTATTTATTTTAAAAATCAATCATAAACTTATATTAAACTTAATTAATTTGTATATCATTAATTATCCTTTTTCTTTATTCATTAATTCATTAATTAGTATCAATTTTTTTCATAATACTAAGATTGGACACTATTGCTAGACAAAATACATTAACAAATGGTTTTTTTCCATACACTGTAAAGGTTGTTTTTCACAAAAGTCAGTAACATTCTTGGATGAGAGATTTTTGGGGGAGAACATTGGTTCATGTTTCATGTGGCCCTTTTTGACCTTTATTAGTTCATCCTCAGTGAACTGTGACATAAATTGCAGAGTAGAACAATTTCAAGGGGAGAAACATATTTTCCATTTCATTTTTAAATCACTGTCATTCTTTGTTGCATTTTTCCTTTTTTCTAAGTCAAATTCAATACAGATGGTCAAATTTCTTCCTGTTTGTAAACTTTAAGCATTGAAAAATTTCAAGAACTGTCAAAAATGTTCTTTTGGTTATCTTAAAAACTGTCAAAAGTGTTCTCTTGGTTATTTTAAAAAACACACTGAGAAAAGTTGTAAGTCTACTTTTCTGTCTCCAGACACTGAAAAGCTATCAATCATTGAAATGGGTCACGGTCAGTGATCATTACGAATATTATCATCCATTTTGTGTGATTTTCCACTATTTTGAAGAATTCATACCCACATTTAGATTTAGATGTATTTTTAAGGATGGCAACCATGAAATATGTTAATGCCTTGTGTATATAATGTTGCATTGGCATTTACAAGGAAGCTATCAAAACAAAATTTAAAACTGATCCATTTCCTCAAGGATTGGTCCGTTAATAAATTGTTTACAGGATCTTAATTTTTGGTTTCTTCCTCGTTTTTGAAAGAGAGAGAGAGAGAGAGAGAGAGAGAGAGAGAGAGAGAGAGAGAATTAGACAACTGCCGCCACTGCCATCACCAATTTTTCAGTCGAAATTCGAAATTTGCCAAATGATACAAAAAAAGTTTTAGAGAAACATTAGTACAGCCCTTCTACACTACTTTCCCTAAACCAGCCTATTACTTATCCTCTCTTACAATGATGTATTTTCTTGCCAGCTGGCGTTCCCAATCGGCTGTGTTCTACGGGAACAACCTTTTCATGCTTGCTCTGTTTTTCGTTGCGTTTGAGCAAATGTCCGTGCATCATGCACAAAATCTGGTATGACTTCACAATATCCTGAAAAGGTCCGTGAATGAAAAATTCTTTTGGTCCATCAGTATGATAAGTTACATCCAAATCAAAGGAGACATTGAGCTCCTTGCAAACCATCTTGAGGTTTTTTCCCAGTGGGCCTTTGATAATGTCCGGGTGAAAGTGCGCAGTGACGATATCGAAAAGCTCGATATTTTGCGGAGGCTCATGGACTCCCTCAGAAGCAAGATCATGTATGTCTTTCTCTGTCAGCTTCATGATTACAAGTTTCTATACTCTCTTTCTTTGCTCTGAATTTTTTGTTATCCTTACTGTACGTGGCGTATTTCCTTTTTGTTTACCACTGCCAACTCAGTATTATCATATTTGGAGCTGCTGTAGCGTCACGTCTTCTGTTGGTCTTTACACATATACAATATGGTCAAATATAATAATCCAAAATGAATATCACATAAGGAATTTTGCTTGAAAATAGCCTTCATTCAACCTGAAAATGGGTAAAGGAAGACAATAATCATAAAAAATGTGAAATGAAAAGAACTTATTTTCTGCATAATGAAAGTGCCTTTAGTTACGTAGAAAAATAACCTAAAATTTACTGTCCTTTTCCTTTTTCTCTTTTATTTTTTCAGTAAAAACCATTCAGTCTAAACAAAACCAAATTAAATCAAATTAATCAAAACCCTGCAATCATAAGTATATGGTACAAATATACCTGTTGTGACAACTAAAACATTCTGCTTTTTTAATCACCCTCTAATGCACCTCACCTCCTTCTTGACCATATTAAAACATATTTCACATGATGAATCGATGAATAAGAACCTACATTCATTCATTTAAATGAAACTTGCATCTTAATCAATACCTTTTCCTACAAATAATAATGTAACAATTCACCTGATTGAAAACTTCTATTTCAAATCTGAAGCCTGAACTCCAACCATTAGAGATCATTGGCATTCATTCCCAGCCAAAATCCTCTCCCTTAAAACATCTAATTCTTCACCTTTTTGAAAATTTGTGTTCAAATTTGAAGTCTTAACATCTCACCATATTAGAACTATACCATCAAAAATGGCAGTGAAAGAGTGCAGTCCTACATATTTTATCTTATGGAGGCATTTCACCAGCTTCAATCTCTTAATGTCAGTTGTCTATTACATATTCAGTCGTGCCACTTCACATAATCTTCATCAAGATCTTCATCATCCTTATTAATACAATGCCTAGCTGCGTGGTTATGTCTGCATCTTGTTTCACCTGAGACATGTACCTTAATAAATTAGTGGGGGGGAGAGGAGGAGAGAAAGGAACAAAATTCAACTCACTGGAGCATATGTTTAGAATATGTTTTAAAATTGAAGTAATCAAAGTAATCAAAACAGCCATATATAAACTTTTTAAAGGGACAAATTTAATTATCAAGATGGCAAGTAAACCAGTCCCCCCTCTCCACTCCTCTCTCCCTTCCCTGCCAACCCCCAGTTAACTACAGAATCTACACAGTCAGATAACCTCACATTCCTCCAAGCAAAATTTTAATACATTATACAACAGTATTATCACCAGCGTGCAGATGATAATCGGGAAGGGCCATTTCGACACAAGGCACATATAACTTACAATGTCAAGAAAAAGAGATTTAAATTCTACCAGGCGTGGAGGGGGGGAGGGGGTAGAGGCCATTGCCTATACTTCAGTCCTGGTAGAACATTAGCCACTCGCAATCTAACATAAAATGTATCCATTTCAACCTCTCAAGAAAAAGCTATTTTCTTACATAGGTTGTATAAAACTACAATATATTACAAAATTGTACTCGTAGTATCTTCATATTACACAATATCTGAGTACCAGTACCTATCAAACTGTGATCACATCTATATGCTTTTGTTATGAAATTAAAACTTTTACTAATTCATTTATATTTAATCTTCAAGTAATCAGCTGTATGTCTAAAAACCAATGCATGCTCTTAATTTAAAAAAATCAATGCAGATATTCTGTACAGGGAACTTAGTAACAGAGTGACAAATCGATACTTTAGATCTTCATATCATAAATCTTAGAAAAAATACATGAAATTTGAGAGAAATTATAGTATTTATCTTATCATAAATATCCACTGCTTTCAGTAAACAACACGTCTCATATCTATTTACCTGGGACCTACTGTATGGATTCCACTGTTTGTATATGTTCATAGCACTATATATGGAAGACAACCGGCCATCATCTCTCCTTTCCCCTAAGCTTAGTATATCAGACCTCTTAATCTACAATAATAATACTGATAATATCTCCGGGGCTCTTCACAATGTCACCAGAGAACAGTAAACTGTACTGTC